CATTTTATCTAATTCATTGGTCACAGATCCAAAAATTACGGTCACAGTTGGATTTTTTGTGTGACCACCCCCGTGACCATCACCATCTTTGTCTCAAAACCAACAGGACCACCCTGTGACCACCGCCGACTTCTGTGACCACCACCTCACCACTGCCGCCAGTCACTGCCAACACCACCATCACCAACAACCACACAAATCATTCACGGCCAGATCGCCAACTGCGCCAGATCCACCGCAAAACCACCTCACTGTCGCCAATATCCACCACCAACATTACCAAATCCACATGCACTAACACCAACAGAAAAACCCCCAAAAACCACCTCCACCACCAATCACAAAACCACAGATCCACAATCACCAACACCGCACAATCACCAACCACAAAACCAATCGTGGAGACCCTACCACCACCATCTTTGCCCCCGTCGTCGCCTAGCTAGACCACCCAAAACCACCCCCCAACAGTACCAAAACCACTACCACCAACATAAGCACCACCAACACCATCACACCGCAACCACAAACCCCACTAAAAAAAATCCCAAACCGTCCCTGCCACCACGATAAATCCATATNACCGCAACCACAAACCCCACTAAAAAAATTCCCAAACCGCCCCTGCCACCACGATAAATCCAAATTGATTTAATTACCTACAGATTGAGTTATCCCGTCCCCGCAATAGAGTGGCAGAGTATGGGAATGATGGCGGCAATGCTCGGAGAAGGAGTGACTGCAAGAAGATGTAGTTCGGAGAGGAGAACGACGGCGGGCTTCTGCAACCGTCAGTTCTTGGTGGCTATGGAACGAAACTGTAGCTGATTTTTGGAATGCAAGGAGGCGGTGGTGGTGTAAAGGTGGGGTGAGCTCTCAATTTGTGGACGAAGAGAGAAATGATTATGGTTTGTGGTGTAATGGTTGTAGATTAATTCTATTATATAATATAATTATTTTAATTAAAAAGTTATTATTACCTGATTTTTGTACAAAAAACTTGTAAATTTTATTTTTGAAAATGAAACTTAAAAAACAGGGTTGGTGTAATTTCATCTTTAAAATTTTCTTACTTATTTTTGATAACACTATTCCATTATGTCAAACTAAATAATTATTTTATTCACGAAAAAACTTTTTATATTAGGTAATAGATTTATGAACCGTTTAATTTGAATCCACATGCTTACACACGCCTAGCTGACTTTTTTCATTAGGAGACGTAAGTACTTTGGAATTATGTAGAAGCGTTCAATGTATATATATCACGTGATGCAATAAGAAAAAATGAGAGAGAAAATTAGGCCAGGCCCTATATTTAAGTTTAGTTTTGACAAATGAGCTCTACGATAAAAAAAAGTTGATAAATCAAGTCACATTTGGAAATTAATGTTTCAATAAA